TTAATGGTTTCTTTAAAGCCTTAATGGTTGATTCTCATGAAGACTTTATGGACATAAGAAAAATTAATTGTATTTTCTATATATAAAGTTCTTCATATAGTTATTAAAACATGTTTATTGATTGTATATTCAATTTTGCATATTTTTTCAATTGTATCTACTATGTGTATTATATATTGCTTTGTAACAAGCCACCCCAATACTTAGTGCCTTAAAGCTACCAAATTTAATCTCTCATAATTTCTGTGCATCAGAAATTTGTGTGCAGTTTAGCTATGTCATTCTGGCTCAGGGTTTCTTCATGGGGAGACAGTTAGACTATTGGTCAGGGCTACAGACACCTGAAAGATTGGCTGGAACCATTTCCAAGGTGGCTAAGTCACATAGCTATAGGCAAAACATTTCAGTTCCTTGCTGAACTCATGGCCTCGCCACAAGGTTTTCTGAATATTCTCATGACATAGCAACTGTCTTTCCCTAGAGTGAGTGATCCAGGAGAAAGAATAGGCAGGAAGCTACAGTGTCTTTTATGACTAAATCTCCCTAGTTGCATATCATTACTTTTTTTTCCCTATTCTTTAGAAGCAGGTCACTAAGTCTGGCCTACATTCAAGGAGAAGCAAATGAGGCTTTACCTTTTAAAGGGAATGTTATAGAATTTCTGCCCATTATTTTAACCTTTCCCCCACATTTTTGGTACTGGAGATCACACCTGGTGCCTCACACATGCTAGGCAGTGCTCTACCATTGAGCTACATCCGTAGCCCTGACATTTGGATAATTCAGACATAGTGAACAAGCAAAAGCTTGTTCTTTTGTATAGTGACTACAAGCTCATGAACTGTAACTTCTTTATAAAGTACTTTAAAAAAAAATATATATATATATATTTTTTTAATTTTTTCAGCGGACACAGCATCTTTGTTTGTATGTGATACTGAGGATTGAACCCGGCCACACGCATGCCAGGCTACCACATCCCCAGCCCCTATAAAGTACCTTTTATTATGATATAATATTTCTTTGTGACACTATTTAACATTTTAATCTTATAATCCACTTTGTTGAGTATTAATATTTCCACTTTTTTCTCTTTATTGCATTTACCTTGTTTTCTACCTCCTCTTAATCTACTTTCTTCATGTGTATTTCTCATGAGTAAGCTATACCTAAATTTTCTGGTAATCTTGGCATTTTAATGAGAATTTAACCTATTTACATTTAGTATAACAGTGGGTATATTTGAAAACTTTCCTTCTATTCTACTTTACTATTTATTTAACTTTGTTTTGCCCTTTTCATTTCCTTTTTTATATTTTGGTAATATATTTTTCAAATAGCTTTAAATGTATTCTTCTACTATAATCCTCTTACTTCCTGTAAGATAAATCTTTATTTTCCATATCTTTATCTTTCCATATCCCTCAGACAGACAATATTTGTAGACCATTTTACTTTGCTCCCTCGATGTCCCCTGCAAATCCTAGCTTTTGCTTATGCCATATTTCTAGGTCTTAACCATTATTAATTTTATCTATCTAGTCTGAATAATTTATTTATAATTTTAGACAATTTTCTACTGATAGAATACTTTCCTAGTATTTAAATGCAAGTTCGATAATATCATATTGATTTAATATGTAATTATATATTTCAAGGTTCATTGTTCACATCTATATTCTTTCATCTTGGTCTTTTCCTAGCTTGAGGACATTTTAATTTTTACTACTCTTATTTAATTTTCTTGAGTGTTTTCCTCTATGGGTCATATGGGTACTTTCTTCACTGAATGCAAGCTCCTTGAATAAAAGAACTTTATATTGTTTACTTCTGTGTTCGTAGCACCTAAAACTGTGCCTGGTGTGTTACAAGCAATCAATACATGTTCATTGTTTTTGTGTATTAGATCATTACATATTCATATGTCTTTCTTTCACCCTGAAGAACATTTATGTTGTTGGTGGTTTGTGATCCCTTATACATCTGCAAGTATTTTTCTATCACTCTGAGATGTTAATGATGTCTTCTTGGTCAGTATAGATTCTTGGTTTATAGTCCTTTTCTCTCTTTGATTTATGGATTTTCTTCTACCATCTCTTACCTCCCACTACTGCAGATGCTAAGTCTGATGCCAGGATGATTCTTTTCCCTTTGTAACTTGTTCTTTCTGGCTTCTTCTGAGGCTGTTACCAGGGAATAGGATTTTTCTTTCCCATTAATTATGCACAGGAGTCATGAGTTCTTTCAGACTTCAAACTGAAGTCTTCTTTTAACTGTTGAAAAAATTCTTTTATTTTTATAATTATTATTTCTTTTCCAACTTCTTTTTTTTTCTCCTTGATTCTAGAATGCTTATTATTGGCACATTAGGTCTCTTGGCTCTGAAACTCTAGTCTCAAGTATTTTTTCTTTATGAGTTCTATTATTTGCTTTTTGTTCAGTGTGAGAGATTTTTCACCTGTTTACTCTTTCCGTTCAATAATGTAATTTACAACCATTCTTTCTGCTAATCCACTGCTATTTTAAATTTGAATAGCATATTTCTAATGCCAAGAATTTAAAATTTTTTGTTCTTATACATTCCTCTCATTTAAAAAATAAAGCTGTTCTCTGTCTCCTCCAGCAGTCCTGTTACATTAGGGGTTATCTACTTTAACACACCTCTGGTTGCTGGATTCTCTTAAGTACTAGCTTATTTATGTTTTCTATTTTCTGCTTAAGGTAGCTCAAGCCTCTCCAGAGTAGGAGGCATAACAGTTTCTATTCCTTCATGAAGAATGTGAAAAGGAAGTCTCTATGTTTCTAGGTGCTCCTAAATGCAAGCATTCATGACCTTTTAGCTTTTGACATGTGAAAAGTAAGATCTAACATTCTAACCCACCCAACTAGGACTACCCACATGCTCTGAGCAGAGTCGCTTCTTAGACTTAAATGGAATTGTCCATGGGTCCCCTCAGCCATAGTCGTCCTCTGTTCTCACCCCAGGGTTTTTTGCTGCTGCTTGTTTAGCCCCCTTCAGAACCTGGATGTCACAATAGTCTGTAGCCTCCATCACCCCTCCTAACATTTCCAGCTACTCATCCCAATTAGCTGAAGCCTGGGGGAAGGAATAGTGTCAGAGTCCTTCTCCTTTTCTTTAAGTTTTGATGAGCAGTAGTCTAAATTTTTGCAGTTGGTTACACTATCTAAGCCCCATGTGAATAAGGTTGTGTGAATTAATATATTAAGGAAATGTAAAATTATGAAACCTTAAAATTAGAAATAGCATGGATGTCACAATAAAATGAATCTCTTAATTTGTATAGTGCTTTCTAGTTTTTATACATATATTCTCATTGAATTCTAAAATAGCTCTGCATGGTAAGTATGGAAGTAATCATTACCATTTTTTAAAAAATTGTTTTAGTTGTAGTTGGACACAATACCTTTATTTTATTTTTATGTGGTGCTGAGGATCAAACCCAGCACCCTGTATGTGGTAGGTAAGCGCTCTATGGCTGAGCCATAACCCCAGCCCTGTAATCATTACCATTTTAAAGATTAATAAAAGATAAAATAACATGTCCAAGGATATCTGGGTATAACAAGTGGAGCTGGACTAGAGTATTAGTCTTATTACACCATGCCACTGCTTGTTTGTTTCCACTTACCTTCAGAACATGTTACGTTGAATAAATGATTTCTGAAATCCCTAAGTTATGTGTTATAACCTGTATTATAGTTTTTCAATATTATACGAACCTTCTAAAATGTATATAAATAGTAGGATGTTAAGTACAAAGTAATAAAACTTTCTTATGCAGTTTGAAATCTAACAAAAGAAGAATTTGAAAATAGTTTGAAAAAGATTAAGAATGTCTATTATTTCCTGAAGGTTGACTTTTTTGAAGGAAATCATGCATTTTGATGTATGGGTACCTCAATTTTTCTCTTCATAATACATTTTTTAAACATTTGAACTTATCTTACTGTGAAGTAGTAGTGCACTCAGAAATTTCATTATCAGGTGTGACACCGAGAAAATGTAACCATGTTATATATCTTTGTTTTGTCTTAGTTTTGTACTGTAGAAGTAAATTAATTAATAGCTCTTATAAATTAGTCCTGTGTCCTAATCTCAGCTCCTTTTTATACTATCATTGTCTTTAAAAATATTATCTTACCTGGTGCTGTGGCACATGCCTGTAATCCCAGTTACTTGGGAGACTGAGGTAAGGGGATCATAAATTCAAAGTCAGCTTCAGCAACTTAGCCAGATCCTGTCTCAAAATAAAAAATAAGAAGAGGTTGGGATATAGCTTAGTGGTAGAATACCCCTAGTTCAATCCCTGGTACTGGAGAAAAAAATGTATCTCATACTTAAGAATGGTATTAAAAGTATCTAATGACTAATATGGCCCTGTCAGCAACCAACCAGAATAGCATGCTTGCTATAGACACTAGGTGTGCTTAGTAGTACACTAGCCCTGCTCACAGTCATACCACTTGCCTGGGTAACTTTATATCCGTTTTCACAAGTGACCTAGGGAGGAATATAGTATCATCTTTCTTTTGCAAATCGAGGGTATAGTAGCCTAAAGAATTTAGCTGTAGAGCTCCTTAGAATGAAAGATTTCTGGCTGTTAGTTCAGTGTTCTACACTGKATAGAAATTTCCCTCTTTTTAGAGGAGAAAGAAGAGATGACACTAACAATTGTTGATGGATAATTATCAGCTCTTTTTTAGAGGAAACTCATAGTACGTGGTGGGTAGAATGAGCACTCCCCTGCCTTGTACTCCCTGGAATCTTCCTGTCTCAAGTTTCATTTTCAGGTCCCTTACAGGAGATTCCTGCCCTGGAAGAGGGAAACTGGCTCAAGTGGGTAAGCAGAATTTTTTTCCAATGAAAGAACTGACTCAGCCTCTTTTCTCCATATAAAGGGACGTTACACACAAAGCCTTACTTTAAAACAACAACATTAGTTTAACTGCTTGTTTTCCCTCCTCTCTTCCTTCCACAGAATGGTCTCCCGTCGGGGAACAACCCGTATGTTTTTAATGGTGATTTTGTAGATCGAGGCAGTAACTCCGTAGAGGTCCTCATGATCCTGCTTGTGAGTTTTCTTGTCTACCCCAATGACCTGCACTTGAACAGAGGGAATCATGAGGATTTTATGATGAATATGAGGTAACCTTAGCCTTTAGATTTCCTCTTTTATTTCCCACTCTGGAAAATACTGCCATGTTTAGTATCCAATAGAGAATTAGAGGCCAGGGTAGAGAAGGAGAGATGAGGGGAATCTCAAGGAAAACCTCAATTCTGAGCCCTATTTAACACCCTCAGTCTTCAACTAAGGGTCAATTGCTCTAAATCCCCCTTCTTATCTTTTTTTCCAGTCCTATTCTTCTTTCTCTCTTTTATCATGTTCTTTCTCTTGCTCCCATGCCCACCCTTCATAGGCCAAATTACATGTTAGATAGGTGTATTAGGCCAATCTGGAGGCATGATATGTTTCATGTGCAGACTTAGATGGAATTGTCCTATTGTTACTCTTTTGGCTTGTCTCAAATATTGCCTCAGAAACTAGCACTATGTTTTGTATTAATATGTGTATTTTTATGACATAGTAATTACTTCTGGCATAGTTGTTCATAAACATTTTTATTAATTTATTAATTTTAATTAGGTATATATGACAGAAGAATGCATTTTAATTCATTGTATATAATTATAGCACAACTTTTCATTTCTCTGGCTGTACATGATGTAGTATCACACCATATGTGCAGTCATGCATGTACCTAGGGTAATGATGTCCATCTCATTCCACCATATTTCCTGCTCCCATGCACCCTCCCTCCTCTTCTTTCCCTTTGCCCAATGAAAGTTTCTCCATTTTTCACATTCCACCCCCCACTCCCTTCCAACCCCTGTCCCCACCCCTGTTATGGACCAGCATCCACTTATCAGAGAGAACATTTGGCCTTTGTTTTTGTTTGGGGGAGGATTGGCTTACTTTGCTTAGCATGATATTCTCCAACTCCATCCATTTACCTGCAAATGCCATAATTTTATTCTCTTTTAATGCTGAGTAATAAACATTTTTTTTTTTTGAGAACAGCTATAATATAGTAGTTCAGCTCTCTGACTCAGGAATAAAGACTGGTTAAATGGTTTAAGAATTTTTGCTGAAAGGTACAGGAGGTGACAAATGTTCCCTTTCCCTTTCTTCCTTTTTCTTTTCATCTCTCATTTTATGAAAAAAAAAATCAGTTTGTTCTAGGACAATAGAAGGTATGGCACGTCTCATGCCTTTGGGCTTGGGCTTTTGAATACCTTAATCAAAGCTCAACAACAGATTAGTTTTGTCTTTGGGGCAGTTTTGACACCTGGTTGGAGTAGAGTTTCAATTTCTCAAAGTATAAGAAAATGCGGGGCATGGTGGTGCATGCCTGTAATCTCGGCGGCTCGGGAGGCTGAGACAGGAGGATTGTGAGTTCAAAGCCAGACTCAGCAACGGTGAGGCACTAAGCAACTCAGTGAGACCCTGTCTCTAAATAAAAAAATACAAAATAGGGCTGGGGATGTGGCTCAGTGGTTGAATGCCCCTGTGTTCAATCCCTAGTACCCCACCCCCATCCTGCCAAAAAAAAAAAAAAAAGTATAAGAAAGCAAATGCTATGACAATGAAGAAAAAAAGAATCCCAGGACTATTATCAGAAACCCATATAAAATAGTGCAATACTTTTATTTGGGCATGCCATTTATCCTTTCATTTATTCAGTTAGCCAGTTGTATTCATCTAGTGCCTATAATAGTTAATGAAAGAGACATAGCCCTTGCTCACATCTAGCAGGAAAAACACATTGAGCAGGGTTTTCAAGTGTAATTAGTTGATAAAGAGGGATCCAACTTTGTCTGAAGGGTGATGGAAAATTGTCCTATGGAAATACTAGCCTGAGACTTGAAGGATGAATTGAGCAATTGAGAGAAAGGAATGTTGGGTGGGATGGGAACAGTGTTTCACAGTGAAAGAATAACTTATACAGAGTTTAAGACAAGACTTTTTAGACTTGAAAGTTCAGGAAGGCAGAAATATAGAATGAGGGATAGGATGGTGCTTAATAGAGCTGGAGATGTAAGAAATGGTTGGATGATACAAAGGAATTTGCACTATTTTCTAAGGACAAATGAATGTCATTGAAAGATATAATAAAATTTGTATTTTAAAAAGTTAACAGGAAGAGGGCTGTGGAAGTAGGTCAGTGGTAGAGTGCTTACGTAGCATGTGTGAGACTCTGGGTTCACTGCCCAGTACTGGGGGAAAAAATGATACTGAGAAGGGCAACAGCAAAGAGTGGATACAGTGAGGTCAATTAGGAAGTAGTTGAAGAGATAGATGATAGATTCTTACTTAGACTAGGGTGGTGGTAATAGAGATGCAAAGAAATAGATTCAAGAGGACTTTAGGCAATGAAGACTTAAGGATCAATAACTTGATATGGGGGACTTGGAAGAAATCAAGGATATTTCCAGATTCCTGGCTGGAGTTTGGGGGTACAGTCTGGAATCATTCAGAAGGAGAATGATAAGTTCAGTTTGGGGTAAACTGATCCGAGATGCTGATGAGTAGACAGTTGATTTTACGTGCAGACATCAGAAATTAAGTGTAGCCTGGAGTATGACCCTGTGATATTGACAATAGGTATTAACTGAAGCCCTGAATGGACAGGGATGTGATTGTTAAGGCAGAAAGTGAAGGTAGGAGAGGATTGGGGACAGAATCTGAAGGATTTAAGACTATGTGGAGGAGAAGAACTTGCAAGGGAGATTCAGAATAGCCAGAAAAGTAGGAGGAAAACCAAGAGTTTTCTGTCACAAAATCTAAGTGGAGTTTTCCAGAAGGATGGTATAGTCAATGTATTTAGTGTTTCAGAGAGGATGAGAAATGTAAGGACTACAAAGTGTATATTGGTTTAACAACATGCACACCTTTGGTGAGCTTTGGGGGGAATTTGTCTCCATTATTGTAGAAGCCTGGCATGACATGATTTGCATGGAAACTTAGGGTAAGTGTGCCGTTTCTACTTTACCTTGTTGGATATTAAGTGTACATACTGTAATCCAAAAGCAAGGAAAAGTAATTGAAAAATTTTCCATTATTAAATCTCCCTTAGCTACTGCTAGTCAGGCATTAATGTTCCCTATACTTTCTATTAAGACCCTGAATACCATTCATTACGTGACCTATATCAGAGAAAGCATAAAGAGCCAACTTGTTATCATCTGGACTTTTGTTCATTTTTGTTCAATCTTTTCTTTTTTCTAATCATTCACTGTAAGATATAGGATGTCTGAGAAATCCTATCTAAATGAAAAACCTTCTCCCACACAGCTTCCTCAGCTGCTGCAGTAAACTTTCAAAAGCCTTGCAATCTTTACACAGCTCATACCTATTTTCTAAGTTGTCTTAAAGTTAGTTCATGAAAATGTATTTTCTTTTCCCAATATGGTATAATCTCCTTGAGGGTGGGAACATGTCATTCATTGCTTTTGTTCTTTCCTATCATGCCTATCAAAGACTAAAGTAACAGTTCCAACTGAAACCTAATTTCTTGAGTTCCTAGTACTGGGGATAGTGAGATATCAAGGACTCCCCTTTTTGTATGATTCATGTAAATAGGAATTGTCAACAATTAATTGTTTAACTGCTCCCCCCTTTTTAAGGTATGGCTTCACAAGAGAAATCTTGTTTAAATACAAGGTAAGACTCAAAACTTTTTAATTTTTTTTTTTGCATTCTCTTTGTTGTTTATGCATAGACAGTAAAAACAAACAAACAGTCAATAAAGAACAGATTGTTGCTTTAGGAAAGGTGATGGGCCAGTTAGTCAGAATTCATGCCAATAAAATACAGGAACAGCAAGAAGCTCTCACCACTCAGAGTCCACCCCCCCACTCCACTTGGACTAAACCACACTTTTTCATTGTGACTTTTGTGTTGGTTTCAGTGTAGATACAAACATAGTCCATTTCTTTAAAGGTACCCACTTGGGGATTTTTTTTTTTAACTCAGGTATGGTAAAATAGGCAGACTCAGAAATGACTGTTATGAAAGAAAAGGTTTTTATTCACAGTTCCCTAGAAATAGGAGGCACTACATACCACACTGGGTGGACCATGTGGGGAAGTACCAGAGTCCATCAGAAGGCAGAGGGAGCTAGGGTAACATGGACAACAAACTTTATTGTGGTTTTCATGGGAAGGAACTGACAAAGGGTCTCAGTGTAATCAGATTTAAGATTGACTAGTTTGAATAATGTCAGCTTGCTCTGGAGCATGAGTTATCCCTAGTTGTCTGGTACCTGGCCCTGGGTGAGTAGAGAAATATTGGCCTTAAGTGTGAGAGCCTAATAAAAGCTGTTATTGAAGGTGTGGGCTCTGGATTAGTTGGTTTTCATGAGAAAGGTGAATCATTTATTGTTTCTAGTAATTAGTTAGCCCTGAAGAGGGGCAGTCTCTTCTGTAGGATTGGCACTCCCCAAGATGTCAAAGTATCAAAAATACAGAATAAAAACCATGATTAATACACGGTAGTTGGTTAGTGACTCTGGGGTGACTTCCTTGGTGTGGTATGAAAATTTGCTTTTTGTCCATGCATTGGGACTGTTCAATAATCTGGACCTATCAGAAAAATAAAACTTACTCAAGCTCTTACTTACAGCTGCATGGAAAAAAAATCTTGCAAATCTTGGAAGAAGTCTATACCTTGCTCCCAATTGGTACAATTATTGACAATGAAATTCTGGTGATACATGGCGGGATATCAGAGTCCACAGATTTGAATTTACTCCACCGCCTAGAGAGAAGCAAAGTAAGAAGTAATATTTGCATGAATCTTATCTCAAAGGTTTATAATAGAATATGTATACCTCTTTTCATTTATCATTTTGAATTGATTTGAATTTTAGTGGTGACTTTAATTCTGAAAAGATTAGTACAAATTTTGAGAAAAATCTATGATTGCATGCATAATAAAAAACTAAATGGGTAACATCTATATGTGGAAAGTATTTTTTTTAAAAATTCATGTTGAAAATGGAAAAATGAGGACATGCTGGCATTTTATATAGTTTCTAAAAGTGAAAAAACTTCTGATTTTTAAAAGTTAAAATATCCATTAATTCATTTACATGGTGGTAAAATGCATGTGACATAAAATTTACCACTGTAACCATTTTAAAGTGTATAATTCAGTGGCATTAAGTACACTCACATTGTTGTGCAACCATCACCACTGTGACCACCATCCTTATACAAAATTGTTCATCTTCCAAGACTGAAACCATACCCATTATACAATAACTCCCCATTCTCCTCCCCTTTCCAGCCACAGTAACCAATATTCTACTTTCTGTTTCTATGAATTTGACTACTCTAGGTACCTGATATAAGTAGAATCATATAGCAGTTTTTAAAATTGATATGATTTCCCTTATACTTCAGATTGATCAGGATAATTATTTTTAAATACTTTAACTGTAAATAAGCATATTAAATACAGCAGAGGCCAAAAAGGAACCTGAATAGAACCTCTGAGAGAAGTGGCTATGTGGTATCTGTAAATATTCCACACCTAGTGAAGGGCTTCTTGATGGGACTTATAGGGAAACAGGAGTTGTCTTCCTCCTCTACCAGAGCCAAGCTGGAGTCTGCATACTAACAACATAAGGGGTGCCACATGGGCATGAGGACCAATAGAGCTGTGAAGCCAAACAGTGGCATATAGTCTTAGTGGGAAATCTGAACCATTACACCTCAGAAATTATAGTCAACTTTCAACCAATCTACACAGGGGGATCTAGAACTGGAATTGAATCTGATAGAGACAGAAATGTGATCCCATTGCACCTTGAGGTTTTGGAGCCTCTATACCTTTATATACATGTGAATGATAATATTAGTGTTATCATCTTTTCATACTTTTAATTTAAGCTTAATATACCTAAACTAGGTCAGATGTCCTTTATATACTCTCAAGCTTCTTATATATATCCTTTGTAACAGTCACCATAATTAATAAGGATTCATGGGACTATTCTTTACTATATCTCCCCACTTCTCCAGTTCACTGATAATACCTCAGCACCTGAGATATAGTAAGTACTTAATACCTAAATACCTCTCAAGAGATTTAAGACTAAAGCAGGGCAAACCTAAGACAAAATTGGATAGAAACATTTTTATAATATCTTTTGTGAGTCTATGGTGATTTTTTTTAATTTTTAAAATTTAATTGGTTACACATAACAGTAGAATGCACTTTGCTACATCATATATAATGAAGTATAATTTCTCATTCTTCTTGTTGTACATGATATAGAATCACACTGGTCGTATAGTTATATATATGTATGTAGGGTAATAATGTCTGATTCATTCTACTACCCTTCCTACCCTTAAACCCCCTCCCCTCCCTTCACTTCCCTCTACCTAATCTAAAGTTACTCTATTCTTCCCCAGCTCCCACTAACCCCTATTGTGAGTTAGCATCTGCATATCAGAGAAAACATTTAGCTTTTGGTTTTTTGGGGATTGGCTTATTTTGATTATCATGATATTTTCCAGCTCCATACATTTACCAGCAACTACCATCTTTTCATTCTTCTTTAAGGCTGAGTAATACTCCATTGTGTATACATACCATATTTTCTTCATCCATTCATTTATTGAAGGACACCTAAGTTTGTTCCATAGTTTAGCTATTGTGAATGGAGCTACTATAAACATCCATGTGGCTGCATCACTGTAAACATTAATTTTAAGTCTTTTGGGTATAAACCAACATCTATGGTGATTTTATATACCTCTTTGCCCATTTCACTGAGTGACTTCCGTACTAACTGGATTATACATTTGTCCTGGTTTAATTGTTAATAATGCCTCCTTCTACTCTAAAATAGTATCCCAGTTGCAATAAATTGTAAGGTCATCCTAAGTTTAAGGTCCTCTTTCTTACAATATCAATGAATAGTCAAGTCAGTAAGATGCTTTGATCAAGATGAGAGAGTCAGTATAAACTTAGTGGAGAACTGAAATCAATGAAGTTGAAATTTTTAAAATTCAAAAATCAATGAAACAAAAAGTTGGTTCTTTGAAAAAATAAACAAAATCTATAAACCTTTAGCCAAGCTAACCAAAAGAAAGAGGGAAAGAACTCAAATTATTAAAATTTGTGACAAAAAATGAAATGGGAAAAAATAAGGAGAGAAATGAATTACAGTAGATGGGGTAGAGAGAGAAGATGGGAGGGGAGGGGAGGGGGGATAGTAGAGGATAGGAAAGGTAGCAGAATACAACAGTTACTATTATGGCATTATGTAAAAATGTGGATGTGTAACCGATGTGATTCTGCAATCTTTGTAATGTTTTGAATAACCAATAAAAAAAGGAAATATCACCACAGACACTATTGAAATACAAAGAATAATCAAACTATTTTGAAAATCTATTCTTCAATAAATTAGAAAATCTTGAAGACGTCAACAAATTTCTAGAGACTTATAACCTACCCAAATTGAACCAGGAGGCTATAGAAAGTTTAAACAGATCAATTTCAAGTAATGAAATTGAGAATGCCATCAAAAGCCTTCCAACCAAGAAAAGCCTAGGACTGGGTGGATTCTCAGCTGAGTTCTATAAGACCTTTAAAGAAGAACTAACACCAATTCTCCTCAAATTATTCCATGAAATAGAAAAGGAGGGAACCCTTCCAAATTTATTCTATGAAGCTAGTATTACCCTGATACCAAAACTAGTTAAAGACACACCAAGGAAAGAAAGCTTCAGACCAATATCCCTGATGAACATAGATAACAAAAATTCTTAATAAAATACTGGCAAATTGCATAAAAAAACATGTTAAAATATTGCACCATGATCAAGAGTGTTTCGTCCCAGGGATGCAAGGTTGGTTCATATGGAAATCAATAAATATAATGCACCACATAAACAGATTTAAAGACAAGGATCACATGATGATCTCAATAGATACAGAAAAAGCATTCGACAAAATACAGCATCCATTCATGTTTAAATCATGAGAAAATCTAGGGCAAGTAGGAACATATCTCAACATTGTAAAAGCTATATATGACAAACCCAAGGCCAACATCATTCTAAATGGAGAAAAACTGAAAGCATTCTCTCTAAAAACTGGAACAAGGCACTTATATTCAACATGGTTCCTGAAACTCTAACTAGAACAATTAGGCAAAAGAAAGAAATTAAAGGGATATGAATAGCAAAAGAAGAGCTCTAACTATCTCTATTTGCTGACAACATTATTCTATATTTAGAGGACTTAGAACACTTCTATAGCTCATAAATTAATTCAGTATAGTAGCAGGATATAAAATTAACACTCATGTTAATTGTGTTCCTATACACCAGTGATGAATCAGCTGAAAGAGAAATTAGGAAAACTATTCTATTCACAATAGCCTAAAACAAAACAAACTTGAGAATCAATCTAACAAAAGAGGTGAAAGACTTATACAATGAAAACTACAGAACCCTAAAGAGAGAAATAGAAGAAGATCTTAGACAATGGAAAGATCTCCCATGATCTTGGATAGGCAGAATTAATATTGTCAAAATGGCCAAACTATCAAGAGTGCTATACAAATTTAATGCAATTCCTATTAAAATTGCAATGACATGCTTTATAGATATAGGAAAAGCAGTCATGAAATTCATTTGGAAAAATAAGAGACCCAGAATAGCCAAAGCAATCCTTAGCAAGAAAAGCGAAGCAGGAGGCATTACATCACCTGACCTTAAATTATACTACAGAGCTATAATAACAAAAACATCATGGTACTGACACCAAAACACATGTAGACCAATGGTACAGAATAGAAGACATAGAGACAAACCCATATAAATACAATTCTCTTATACTCGACAAAGGTGCCAAAAATGTATTCTGGAGAAAAGATAACCTCTTCAACAAATGGTGCTGGGATATCAGCATAATAGCAGGATATAAAATTAATCTATATGTAGTAGAATGAAATTTAACCTCTCCTATCTCTCACCCTGCACAAAACTTAAAGTGGACCAAAGACCTAGGTACTAGACTGGAAACCCTGCACCTACTAGAAGAAAATGTAGGCCCAACACTTCAATCTGTCAACTTAGGAAATGACTTCCCCAACAAGATTCCTAAAGCACAAGAAGTAATATAAAAAAATCAACAAATGGAATGATATCAAACTAAAAAGCTTCTTTACAGCAAAGGAAACAATCAAGAGCATGAAGAGATAACCTAAAGAATGGGAGAAAAGCTTTGCCATCCACACCTCAGATAAGGTGTTAATTTCCAGTATATACAAAGAACTCAAAAAGCTTAATACCAAAAATAAATAATCCATTCGATAAGTGGGCAAAGGAACTAAACAGATGCTTTTCAAAAGAAGAAATACAAATGGTCAATAAATATATGAAAAAATGTTCAACATCTCTAGCAACTAAAGGAATGCAAATTAAAACTACACTGAGATTCCATCTCAGTCCAGTCAGAAAGGCAATTATCAAGAATACAAGTAACAGTAAATGTTGGTGAGGATGTGGGGAAAAGGGTATATTCATATATTGTTGGTGGGGCTGAAAATTAGTGCAACCACTCTGGAAAGCAGTATGGAGATTCCTCAAAAAACTAGAAATAGAACCACCATTTGACCAAGTTATTCCACTTCATAGTATATATCCAAAGGAGTTAAAAATCAGCGTAGTACAGTGTACAGCCACATCAATGTTTATATTATAGCAGCACAATGTACAATAGCTAAGCTGTGGAACCAATCTAGATGCCCATCAACAGATGAATAGATAAAGAAATTGTGGTATTATACACAATGGAATATTACTCAGCCATAAAGAATGACTTTGTGGTATTTGCCAGTAAATAAGTGGATCTGGAGACTATCTGCTAAGTGAAATAAGCTAATTCCCCCAAAACAAGAGAATGAATGTTCTCCCTGATATGTGGATGCTAATCCACAATAAGAGGGGGAGAGGAAGAATAGAAGTTCAGTGGATTATACAAAGGGGAATAAAGGGAAGGGAGGGGAGGAAGAACAGGAAAGACAGTGGAATGAATCTGACATAACTTTCCTATGTACATATATGAATACACCACAGTGAATCGCAACATAGTGTATATCCACAAGACTGGGATCCTAATTAGAATAATATATATTCCATGCTTTTATAAATATGTCAAAACATAGATTCTACTGTCATGTACAACTAAAAAGAATAAAGTGATTTTATAATTTTCATAAGACGTGTTTAAAAGTGTGAACCAGAGTGATTTTTCTTTTCTATAGATTAGGATTCATCTTTGTTTAAAATAAAGGCTAAACATAAAAAAAAAACACACTAGATATGATTCTTGCCAAGAACAAAGGAACATGGTGTTTTTGTCTGTCAAATATTGGCAAGCACATGGCATGAATGCTATACTCTCCACCACCCACCCTGTGACTACTGCACTAATCAACCATGGCAGCCACTACCAATGGCTCAGAATGAAAATTTACTTTCCCGAGGTTAGCCTGAGCAGCCAGCCTCATGTAAGGCTTTTTGAGGTATTGCAAACAAGTCTCTGGAATGGCTACCCTAGCTCTGTGGAGACCCTAAGTTGAGAGCCACCATGATGTAGTAAAGACTAGAAATTCTGATATCAGACAGACATAGTCAGATTTATATCCTGCTTCTGCCATTTCTTGGATGGTGATTGGATAAGGCACTGAAGTTTTCTAAGTCTCAGTTCCTACACCAATAAGTTAGAAATATCACTTTAGATTATTGTGAAGATTAAATTATTAACCTAGATGAAGAAAACGTAAAATAATACTAAACATATAGCTCTCTGATTCTCCCTTTTGTTTTTTTTCCTGATATTTGGATCTGAAGTCTGAATTTCAGTGATTAGGACAGACCCTAAGGGACATTTTTGGGCTAGCAATTTTCCCAGGATGCTTCAAATTTCATCCCCTTCAGGGATTACTGTTCCACTGGCTCATAAGACTGGTTTTATTTAAAAACTTGATATATATATATATATATATATATATATATATATATATATATATATATATAGAGAGAGAGAGAGAGAGAGAGAGAGAGAGAGAGAGAGAGCTTGTGTCTTATATCCCTACTAGTGTAAGAACTAACAGTATAAATTTATATTAAATAAATATAATTAAACTGTGATGAAAGTAGTAGTCTTGAGCTTCTGGAACTCTATCAGATAAGATACAAAGGTAGATTTCCAAGTTCAGTTTTATAATCCCCATGTTCTTATTCCATAGGACCCTTCAATTGTCAGATTATCACACTTCCTGGTTTGTACCTGTGGTGGTGGTATAATTTAATAAGGGAGGGGTAGTGTTGAGGAAACCTAATGGCAACTTATCTTCTAAATTAATTGAAAGGATTTTGGATGATGAGCAGGTTGGAGGTCAATGTAGAGGGATAGAAAAGAAAAACTCTATAAGACTAAATCTCTGGTATTCTTGAACTCCCCAGCAGTGAGTATTTCAAAAGAAGAAATATAAACAATGGCTAGTAGGACTCCCAAGAAAAAATGGTGATGTGATGCCTTAGAGGAGCTAGGCAACATTATCTCAAAATCCTAAGTGGTCTTGAAAACTGCAGAGCAGCACAGACTTAAGGAACCATGTGGCCTTGCCCTATGAGTTTATCAGAAGTGAATTGTGTTGACCTAGATTCAGAGGGCTTTCCTAGAATATTCTGGTCTGCCTAAGACCTGAGGACATTTGCCTGGGAAAGACAGAAAAGGTAGGCTCTGAACTGGCTAATAATAGCTGAGATAGAAATTTCCAACAAGTTCAGTGAGACAAGGCTTTAGAATAAGATCCCCTTTTTTTTTTTTTTTTTTTTTTTTGAGGCAGGATCTTGCTAAGTTGCTGAGGCTGGCCTTAAACTTGGAATCCTTCTTGTCTCTCCTCCTGAGAATTAATAGGCCTGTGCTATCATATCCAGCCTCAATTTTATTTTTGAAAAGATTTCATACATACCATAGTTTTTAGTAGAAACTAGGTACCTACTCCAGAGAATTGTGAGCTGTGGTCACCAGTGTAGCAGAAGTATTGATTGAAATTGCTTTGTGTTAAGGTATGGTGCTACAAAGACACAAGAATAAAATTATTATTTCATGTTGTATAAGGGAATGCAGAGGGATTAGAATAGTTGAAATTCTATCAGAAAGACATTTTATTTTCCAAAGTAACACTGGAGTGTTGTTAGAGAACATAATCAATTGCTGACAGGTCAGACTGAGAACTACAGTACATTTACGTTAAGGGCTTCCAAAGTTTTTAATCCATGTCCCATTTAGAACTTTTCTGATACAGATGTACTTTTTTTTTTCATTTCTCCTGCAAAATACAACAAAATTAAAAGCAGCTGTCCTTTTAATAGATTTTTCTGAACTCCTCCAAGCTCCAGATGAAGGCTCAGAGGGAGACTAGTTTTCCCTGCACTTAACATCTTTAATTTCCTGTGATGGTGCCTTAGAAGCTGTTTAGCACCTGCATACGTATATGTGCCTCTGGTATCCTTTAGAAACTTTAATGTGAGTCTTTCCCTGTAGTGCAGTGTCTTTAGTTGAAAAATGTGCAAACAGAATTTAACAGGCCCACTTTACAGACAACAGTGGATCAACGAGTCATAGGAGGTAGGAGAGTCAGAAAAGGTTTCTGTGTGTTTTTCATTGGGTTGAGGCACAACAGTATAGACAGAATCCTAACTGGTACTGAAGTGTCTGCATGCAGCACAATAAGCAGAGTATTTCACTAAAACATTAATTTGTTTTATAGATGAGATCTGTGCTGATGCCACCAGTGTCAATAAATAGAGGCCATGCCACCGACTCTAAGAAAAGTAAAGGGGACATTACTGTTACTTCATCAGGAAAAGTCAAATCAAATGGTTTCCCTTCTCAACAGTTATCAAAGCATGAATGGGAGCAGGTAGGTAATTAAAGTGTTCCCAGAGTGGCAATGAAGACACCAGCATAGATGATGTTGTACCTTACAATATATAGATAAAAGTAACTTACCTTTATAAGCAAACCATATGATTCTCTCAGAATTCATCACTGCATTTTGATACTTTTATTGAAATATAACTCATATATCATATAACTTACCCATTTAGAGTATATAATTCAGTAGTTTTTAGTAAACTTACAACTATCACTACAGTCTAATTTGAGAACATTTTTTTCAGTGAAGAAAGAAACCCCATACCTATTAGCAGTCACTCTCCATTCTCCCCTTTTCCTGTCCCCCCTCAACCCTAGGCAACCATTAACCTGCTTTCTGTCTTTATAGATATGCTAATTCTGAACATTTTATTGTAATGGGCACATACAATATGTGATCTTTCATGTCTGGAATCTTTTACTCAGCACAATGTTCTTTAGGTTCATCCATGTTGTAGCATATGTCAGTACTTTATTTCTTTCAATTGCTGAATGATGTTCTATATGGGTAGATATATTGTATTTATTCATTTATTGGCTCATGGACATTTGGGTTGGTTTCTATTTTTTTACTGTTATGAATAATGCCTTTATGAACATTCGCATACAACATGCAAGTTTTTATATGCACATATCTTTTCATTTCTCTTGAGTATATATATGCAGTACATACTCAATATGAATTGCTGAATGATAAGATAACTCTAAAGTTAAATATTTTGAAAAAGTTCCAAACTGTTAGCCCAAGTGGCTATACCATTGTACATTCCCATCAGCAATGAAGTTCTAATTTCTCCTCCATTCTCACCAGCACTTACTATTGCCTGTCTGCACCCCCGACTCTTTTGATGCTGGAGATTAAACCTAGGGCCTTGCACTTGTCAAGCACATGCATTACCACTGAACTACACCCTTTTGATTGTAGCCATCCTAGAGGGAATATGGTGGAATCTCATGTGTTTTTGATTTATTTTACATTGAGGAGATTTAAAAGGCTGAGACACAAATAGATGTTTGTCATTCTGATCATTAAAATCCATATGTCAGTGAAAGTTTCCCACTTTTTGGTTTGAAAATTATTAGTAAAAAATGTTGCAAATACTTAATCTCTCATGCAGTGACCATCCTAAGACTCCTGCATCTCAGAGGATAGGTTGTTGTTAAGAAAAAAAGAGATGGTTTCTATGGAAGAATTTATTTCACTTAAAAAGAGCCCTTAATAGCATTTTTGTTTGTTTGTGAGCTCCAGAATTAAACCTGTGTTACAACTATAGTCTAAGAAAACCTAGTCAAATGAATAATTTCTAAACAGATAAGTAATGTATAGTCCCCAGTACCCCTTATCCCCATACACAAAATGGAGATTTCATGGAATGGATTCTGATAGAGATGCTCATTTCTTAAAATTGTTATCCCTTGTGATCTTGAATCAAAGAAAATAAGTTTTAGATATATCTTTCTCATTTCATTAATAACAACTGAGACCAAAATAGGTGAAGTGATTTGCCCAAGAGGACATAGATAATTACTTGAAAGATGACTTCTTGACCAGTGCTTATTCTAGTTCTACAGAGTTCCATCATATGTAGGTTTAATTTATGTAGATTTCAACTGTCATATATGGCAAAGAGGGCAAAAAAAGAAAAATACTGTAAAAATTTATTTTCGTAAATAGTCTTTTTTACATACTATTTTATATGTATATACATAAACTTAATTAGTATATATGATTATACAGATAAAACCATGTATAATGTACTTTCAGGATAATTTAAGAGGTTTTTCCAGGGATAATTTTTCTATAAATGATTCATATTCTTGTAGGAATTGAAAACTTAATCCCTTCCTAATAAAATACAACCCCTTGTGTTTTGTGTTTGAGCCTTCGTTATACTGCAGGTCAAAGATGAATTAGTTGGTGTAAAAGCCAGATATGACTCAGTTTAAAATGCAAATGCTATTTTTGTCATAAACAGCAGCATAGTAAAGGTGTTGCATTGTATTTATTTGTACTGGTTGTGCCCATGTTAGAATTCAGTGAGGAGTAAGGAAACTGCTGGGTTGATTCTTTTTTGGAGTGGTTTTTATTTTGAACTCAATCAATCTTCAAAAAGCTGCAAGTGTCTGATCTGTGCCTTGTGCAGGATTTCTCTAGTTTTGACCAAATGCTGACTATTCCAGGGTGGTTGTCCTGCCAGTTCTGTTCTTTCCACCTCACTGCCCTTTCCCTCATTTATTTCTAGCTTCCCTTCAACACTAAACCTGTAATGGGTACACAGTCAGATTTAGTAGAGCAACCATTTTGGGTTCTTAAGACCTGATTTGGTCCTACTAGAATAACTGCACAACTCAAAACGCATGCTTTTTCATGCCCTCAAAAGAAACATGTGGAGGTGGAAGGGCTAAAGGTATACTCAGCAGTAAAACACATGCCCAGGATGCCCAGCACTTGAGGTCCTAGGTTCAATTACCAGCACCAGCATCAAAAACCAAAACCAAAAGAAAAAAAGAAATGTGGAAAATATAGACTTTCAGAATTATAGCATGTTAGAACTTTGAGGTACTTTACTGATCAACTGGCCCAAATGCCAGATTTAAAATATTTTAAATGTGGGACCCAGAGAGTTTTTCTAGGGTTGTTGCTATCTTTAGTGACAAAGGTAGTTTTTATTACTGCTCTTGAAGTTCTTATAGGAGAAGTTTAAATAAAGACATGTTACACTTGTACATTGGAGCTGTAAAGAAAGAGCTTCCAAATTTTCATGAAAAATATCCTTTAGAAACTTGGGTATTCTGTCCTGGGTATCATGTGACATGTGCTTGCCTCTTCCACACACTTACCCCAAAAGAAATGTTATGCTAATAAAACTCTATGGATTTAGGAGAATACCTGGTAGAAATAAGTCATTGAGCAAATGTATTGCTGAAACCGAGAATGTCCATATCAAGTTGGTAAAAGGGGAAGATTCTTTAAGAATGTTCTTGAATGAACAGCTTTCTCTATTTGTGGTGGGAAAGAGCAAGCGCTTCCTCAGGCTGTTTGTTCAACAAGACAAAAGCTCCAGGCCCAAGTCCCAGCTGGATGAGCTACCTAATTTCTTTGACTATATTAAGAATGCCTAATGTGTTCCTTATGGGGAACTACTTTCTTCTGTGAACATGACAATGAAACTATTTTAAAAGAAAAGAATGGACAAATGTGTTGACCCACTCCTGTAATCCCAGCAACTTTACTGCATGCCTGTAATCGTAGCAATTTAGAGGCTGAGGCAGGAGGATTGCAAGTTCAAGGCCAGCTTCAGCAACTTAGACCCTATCTCAAAATAAAAAGGCCTAGGGACAGAGCTCAGTGGTAGAGTGCCCGTGGGTTTAATCCCCAGTACTTAAGAAAAATTATTCTGGAAAGGATGCATGGAGTAGATGAGTATGAAGCAATTTTAGAGGAGGAATGGAAAAGAGCCTTTGGTGTACTTTGGGTTAGTATATCTGGTAAATAAGAATCTAGAAAGACAGACTCTCAATTATAGGGAGCAGCCTAATTTGGTTTGTTCTTCCAAGGTCGTTGACATTCTGTGGAGTGACCCCAGAGGAAGAAAAGGCTGTTATCCAAACACAAGTCGAGGAGGAGGCTGCTATTTTGGACCAGACGTTACCTCTAAGATTCTCAATAAATACCAGTTGAAGATGCTCATTAGGTCTCATGAATGTAAGCATGATGGGTATGAAATCTGCCATGATGGGAAGGTAAGCTAACATTGTTGGTGACATCCTCACAGACATACTTCCCCCAAGAATAGAGTCTTCTCATCACAGAGAGTGTCTGACCTAGGAGCCCATAAGAAGATATCTTTCCTAGTACCAAACAAAAAGCAGACACTGGCGGGTTCATATATAGGTTGTTTGAAAGGCCCTCACTCTCCCATACCCTAAGAGATATTTGACTTATTTACTGATCTTTATTAATCCCAGAAACAGATTAATGAAATTCTGACACATGGCACTAAGTACACACACACACACAGGCTTCATTCTTTACTTATTGTAATACAACTCTCCTGTACGGTTAAGAATGTACTTTTCCTCACAGAGTACATGGAAGGCAGCAGTGAATCCACTTTGTTCTCTTCCACTTTTTGCACATTCCTTGTGCAGAGTACAAAACACACTTTCCTTCAACTGGCTGAATAGGCAGTCTCCTGCTAGTAGCTCTCCATGGTTAGTTTTGCTGTAGCCATGAGAATGGAGTATATTCTGCTCCTTCAGTGATGTTAATAAGGTTAGAAGAGGTGAGGACTGAGGAGATGATTCCCGTCCTCCTCCATTGACCTGGTTAGCCTCTTTTTCTATAGGGAAGAGCAATAAATAACAATCAATACCAAATTGTGTGGCATTTCTTCCTTTGCTTTTTCTTAACTATTAATTTATTTTAGGCTCATACCAATATTGTAAGATAAGTAAAGTGAGTATTTTTAGGACTTCTTTATAATGAGAAAATGGATAGAAAATAGCAGTGGTTTATCTGAAATGACATGCTTATTATGACAGAATTGGGCCTAAGCCAGGTTTTCTGTCACTGACAAGTATTTCTTTCCATATTCCACCATACTCCTAAGGCTTGTTCCTTCCCAAGACAGTGGTCATGGTTTCATAGTCTTGGCACTGTTTCTCTGCCCTTAAAGCACTGGCTTTGTTGAGCCTTGAACCCTCTAAGTTGTCTTATTCAATGAATGAAGTTACTCAGCTCCAAGCAAAAGAAAAAGACTGAGCTACTAGACAAGTTTTATTTTGAATGCTCAGATATAACAAGATAAGAAAATAAGGGATTTATCCCCTTGGAAAATTAGAATTTGCAAAACCAAACACTGAAGAGGATTCTAAGATCTGGCACTAAAATTATACAAGGTCATGCACTGGAGATATTGAATGAGTGTCTAGGAGGTAGTACTCCTGGAGACACCGAGTGAAAACCTTTGTTTTCCTCCAGTGGACTCTTTAAGAAATCATGTTAGACTTGGATAATTTGCAGAAATTATGAACTGTGTTTAATTTTTGCTTTTTAATAATTAAGCTATTTCTGACTTTATTGAATAAACTTTTGAGAACTAATTTTATGAACCTGATTCTCTTTTTTACTAATCAGGTTATTACCATATTTTCTGCTTCTAATTATTACGAAGAAGGCAGCAATCGTGGAGCTTACATCAGACTGAGTTATGGTATGAACCCACGATTTTTCCAGTACCGAGTAACTAGTTCAACATGCATGAGCCCTCTTCACCAAAGGTGAATATATTCAGAAAATACCAAACACTGTTATTGGTGATCCAGTAGACCAGTTATAAGTGATTAAGAGCAGCCACAGAGGTGAAGGCAGTCACTTACACAGTTACTCATTGGTTTAAACAAAACGAATTAGCTAGACACCAAATGATGAATACACCCATATTTGATACCAAAGGAGCAATTTCCAATTCATACATCTTTTAATGCAGTTAAAGCAGCCAATACCCACAAATGTAACTAAATATAAAGAAAAGAAAGTCTTCACACCCACTCAGTGTTCCCTAACCTGTAGCCTTCTATGTTCCTCAAACAGCCCTATTTGTCTTTCCCCTTCTTTACCCAGAAGTGTATAGAACTAAAATGTTGAGTATTTCTTCATGTGATGACAATGACATTCATAGTTTATCTTCCTTTTCTCCCTGTAACACTATCTTTTTAGAATTTTTACATTATGAAACTAATATGTTTATTGTTAACAGATTAAAAAGGAAGATAAAGAAAATGTTAATTATCTTCACTCTCCTTTTACTTTTCTTTTTTTTTAAATATTTTTTTAGTTGTTGATGAACTTTTATGTTCACTTATTTGTATGTGGTGCTGAAAATCGAACCCAGTGCCTCCCGCATGCTAGGCAAGCATGCTACCACTGAGCCACAACCCCAACCCCTCTCCTTTACTTTTCAATAATCCTTTTCCCCAGAAGTAATTAAAACTAACAGCCATGAATGACCTCTTTCACCTTCTTCTCCTTGCTCATACAAAAAGAGATAAGCACTTATTAATTCACTGAATAAAATAACTGTGAGCATGTACTATGTGTCAGACACTGTTTTAGATACAGGTTAGATACAGCAATGAATGAAATAGGCAAAAATTCCCTCAACAAATACTTATGCCAGTATGAGGAGAAAGATAGTAAACAACATATATACTTTTATATATATGGACATATATATATATATATATATATATATACACACACACACACACACATACATACATACATATATATACACTGTGTGTGTGTGTGTGTGTGTGTGTGTGTATAAAGGTAGAATCACATAAAACCTCTATTCTACCACTGAATTTCTGCCCTTAAAGATTTCATCATGATGGGCTGGGGTTGTAGCTCAGTGGTAAACCATTTTTGCCTTGCCCATGTGCGGCACTGGGTTCAATCCTCAGCACCTCTTAAAAAATACATAAAGGTATTATGTCCATCTACAACTAAAAAACATTTAAAAAAATTTTCATCATGAACATTACTCCAAGTTAGCATATATAAATCTGATTCATTCATTTAAGTAGATGCATAATGTTCTGTAGTATGTAGTACCATAACAATTAATAGAGTGAATAAGTCTTCAATTGATGCCCATATTGGTTACAGGATCTTAAATTTAGAAAAAATATGATATTAAACATTCCTCTATGTAAGGAACTACATTAAGCAAAACCCCCCACCCCAAAAATCCAATTTAAAAAATGGGAAAATGACCTGAATATATACTTTTCCAGAGAAGACATAGGATTTAGTCATCTTTTTTGTTGCTGTGACCAAAAGATCTGAAAAGAATAACTTGTGAGCATGTACTATGTGTCAGACAATTAGAGGAAGAAAAGTTTATTTTGGTTCACAGGGTTAGAGGTCTCAGATGGCTGACTTCATAGCTCTGGGCCCAAGCTGAGGCAGAACATTGTAGCAGAAGGGCATGGTGGAGGAAAGCAGCTTGGAATGGCAACCAGGATGCATGCAAACAGAGAGTTCTACTCACCAGGGACAAAATATAAACCCAAAAGGTATGCCCCCAGTGACCTTCTTTCAGCCACTCCCTGTCTATAGTTATCTCCCAGTTAATTTATAGCAGTGGATTAATGCACTGATTAGGTTAAGGTTCTCATAATCCAATCATTTCATCTCTGAATTTTTTTGCATTGTCTCACACATGAGATTTTTGGAGGCACCTCATATCTAAACCATAACATTCTGCCCCTGGCCCCTGAAAGTTCATGCCCATCTCATAATTCAAAATAACATTTAGCCCATTTCCAAGAGTCCCCATATATTTAGCATTGCTCAAAACTCCAAGTCAAAACTCTTGTTTGAGGGTTGTGGCTCAGTGGTAGAGCGCTTACCTAGCATGTTTTAGGCTCTGGGTTCAATTCTCAGCACCACATACAAATAAATAAAGGTCTTGTGTCATCTAAAAATATATTTTTAGAAATTTTGTTTGAGACTCAAGACAAACTCTTAGCTGTTTTATAGCAGCTCAATTCACAATAGCTAAACTATGGAACCAACCTAGGTGCCCTTCAACAGATGGATAAAGAAATTGTGGTATATATACACAATAGACTATTATTCATCCTTAAAGAAGAATGAAATTATGACGTTTGCCAGTATATGGATGGAACTGGAGAATATCATGCTAAGTGAAATAAGCCAATCACAAAGTACCAAATGTTTTCTCTGATATGTGTTTGCTAATTAACAATAAGGGGGGAGGCAGAGAACAGAGGTACCTTGGATTAGACAGAGGGAAGTGAAGGGAGGGGAGGGTGTATGGGGGTAAGAATGATAATAGAATGAATCACATATTATTACCCTATATGCATATATGATTACACGACCTGTGCAACTCTACATCATGTACAACCAGAAGAATGAGAAGTTATACTCCATTATGTATGATGTGTCAAAATGCATTCTACTGTCATGTATAATCAATTAGGAAAAACTAAAAAATTTAAAAAGAAAACCTCTTGGCTGTGAGAGTAAAGATCAAAAACAAGTTACATAAACTTATATATAATGGCATAGAGTAAACAGTTCCATTCCACAAAGGAGAAATAGCAGCATAGAAAGAAAGGACAGGACCAAGGCAAGACCAAAATCCAGCTGGAAACACATCCTGTAGCTCTATATCCATCATCTGAAGCATATGGCATTGTGATATTCTCTTCAAAGGGATTGTGTAGCTCTGCCCCTGGTGGCAGTCCACATGGCTTGTTTCTTATTGATTCTTGCAGCTTTTCTTGGCAGATGTTCCATGTTACCGGCATCTCTCAGTCTTGGGGGTCTCCACTGCAGCTTTGGCTTCCTCTCACATCTTCACACATTGCCCTATCAGGGACAGCTTGTGGGAACTCTGACCCTGCTACACTTTGCCTAGTCTCCCAGGAATTTCTTTGAAATCTTAGTGGAAGCCTCCATGACCCCCTACCTACAGCATCCTGCATTCCTGTAGGACCAACACTATGGTTGGTGTTGATGCCAAGGTCTGCCACCATCTCAAGCAGTAGTCAAGCATTCTGGGATGATGGCTGCAGCAGCCTCTGAATGCCTGGGTGGCTGAGACTGTGAAACAACTTTCTAGGCCCCCTGTGTGAGCAGGGTGCTCCCATGGTCTCTTCTTGGAGGAATTTTTACTTTTACACCATTGACTCTGAGATGGGTATGGTCTTGCCAGTTCCTGAGATACCCTCATGCCATTTTTCCAATTGTTTCTGGGTAAAGTACTTAGCAGTGTCTCTTTCCTGGCTGTAATCTCTTTCACAACCATGCCTTCCTTAACTCCAGTTTTACTCACACTTTTATGGTCGAACTGCAAGTTTTTCAAATCTTTCTGCTCTGCTTTCTGTTCTTGGTTATCAAGCAAACTTGGCTAAAAGCTGCCAGCAACACCCATGCCGCTGCCTTAAAGTTTTCTCTGCCAAATTAATTAGTTCATCACCTTTAAATTTAGCCTAACAGAAAGTCTCAGGACAGGAGCAAAATGTAGACAGCTTCTTTGCCATAACATAACATGAGTGGCCTCTAGTTCAATTTCCAATAGAATCTTCCTTCTCTAAAACTGCATGAGGCCAATTTTTACTGTCCATTGTCCTATCAGCATTCTTGTCTTCTGAGCTCCCAAAGAATTGTCCATTAAGTTCCACTGAAAACATTCTAAAGCTTTTCCAGCTTGCATCTCTAATTCAACACCTCCCTGCAACCATGCATACTAGCTTCAAAGGCTTCTGAACCACATAATCAGGTTCAGAAGCAATGACCCCACTTCTCAGTACCAATTTCTTTTCTAGTCAGTTTTTTTTTCTTTCTAACTTCATAGCTCTGGGCCTAAGGTGAAGCAGAACATCATAGCAAAGAAGGAGAAATAGAGACACACCAGGGACAAAATATAAACCCAAAAAGCATGCCCCCAGTGACCTACTTCTTCAAGTCACACCCTACCTGCCTATAGTTATGGACCTGTTAATCTATATCAGTGGATTTATGCACTGATTTAAGGCTCTCACAATCCTATCATTGTATTGTCTCACACATGAGCTTTTGATGGACATATCACATCTAAACCATAACAACATACAAATGGTCAGCAGGTACACAAAGAGATACTCAACATCACTAATAATCAGGGAAATGCAAATCAAAACTATAATGAAATATCACCTCACACCATTAGGAGGATGCCTGTTGTCAAAAAGATGACATAAGTACATACTGTAAAGTTGACCCATTTGAAGTGTACAACTCAGTGATATTTAGTATATTTACAGAGTTACACAACCAATGCCATTGTGTAATTGCCATACTAGAAAGAAAACTTATACCCATTAGCAATCACTTCCCCATTACCTTCTCCTGTTATAGCTCTAGATAGCCTCTAATCTGCTGCAGTCTGGCTGGACACAATTCAGGAGCCACTTGTCAAAAGAACACACACACCAAACCACACAGCTCTTCAGGAAAACCTTCAGAGCCCAACTGCCACCACCGGCTTCCCACAAGCCTCTCAACCTCCCCCACTCCTCCTGCTCTTGAGGCCGATTGGCTGGGTCATGTGGGCGGAGCCAAAAAAAAGTCCCCCAATGAGCAGCTCTGTGGTCTGAGAGGGC